CTATTTTTTTTTTTTTTTTAAGATTCTTTTTGTCCTGCCCTGTTCCCGGCCCTGCTCCCCATCTCCCCAACTCCTAAGGAACTTTCTCATCCTGGTGTTCAGAACTCCCGTTTATTTGTCTCCGCGCTCCTGACCAACCTCCCAGCCCTCGCTTGGCCTCACCTACCCCAGCACATTAGAATATGAATCATGCTCTAAAGATGGCCTTTCAGTTCCTTCGCTTCCTAGCCTTACTCACATCCTCCTCCTCAGCCTGGAATGTCTGCACTCCCGTTTCCTTCAAAGCTTAGTTAAATCCCAACTTCCCCACAGAATCCTTCCCAAATTTCTCCTCTTTTGTCTGCCGGCTCTGCTTCTCTGCTGTAATTCAGCGGCCATCTGCCTCCCTCTAGGCTCCGAGACTTATGTGTTTCCCCAGGATGGCCTAGGGGACCGGGGCCTGTGTCATGCAGGCGCTTAATGAATGTTTCCTGAATTTAACCGACAGCCGACCTGATCTCACCTGGGCCATCAGTCTGGGAGCCAAAGGGGCCCTGTGTACCGTCCGTGGGCTCAGGTGAACGCAGCCACGTGGTGGCGAAATATTGATGGTGGACCTGGGCATTAGGCTTAGAGGGGTTTGTGGATAACCTTTTTTGTTTGTTTGTGTGTTTTTTAAAGGAAAGCTTTACAAAACACGGAAAGGGGCATCCAGACTTTACCAGAGCCAGCCTCCCCTCAGGTGTAAGTTTGCGAGGGTAACAGAATGGCCGGCATCCACTGAGCCTCTGCTACTACATTTAGAAAACCTGTAAAGTGGAGCTTACTTAATAGAATGCCAGGAAAATTCCCCAAAGGTGAGATTTTCAGAAATCAGACTTCTGGGATGCATTTTACCGGGTGGGGGGGTGGGGGGACTCCTCCGCCATTGAAAGAACCGCAGGCTATCACAACAGCAATTGCACAAACGAACAACAGCTCCCTGGTGAATCGTTTTATGATACAGGGTGAAATATAGACCGTGAGCTGTCAGGTACTGAATTTCTTGTGGCTTAGCATTAAAGTGTTCTTAATGACATCCCCCCTGATATTCTCTGGTGAAGGCAACGTGCTTTAAATTCCATCTGTGGTGGTTGGATCGACCACGGCGTCCTTTAAGAGACTTGGGGTGTATCTACACAGTACATGCTCTCCAGTGCACACAAAATGTTCAGTCAGTTAGAAGAATTTTCCCGCCTCCACTAATTGGGAACAATGAAAACCAATTCAGGTTCTAAAGGGAAATGTTTGCCTCAAGTTCTTGAGGTTTTGGCTTTAGGAATGACAGAAGTCTCGTGGCAATTTAGCAGTTCAAGTATAGGATATTTCCTCAATCGGAGCCATGATATTTATTCTAGCTCCCATTTGAGAGACCCTACTAGGTTCCAGACACTGGCTAGATGCTTCACATGCATCCTTAACGCAGCAGTTGTCCTAAAACAGAACTATTTTTATCTTCACTTTGCAGACAGAGAAACTGGTAACTCAGGTCAGGAAATGGCAGAACGAGGATTTGAACCCACATCTATCTGTCTACCCAGCCTACAATTTTTCCATTCTGCTGAAAGCTGGGAGGAACCTTAGGCAGTGTCTCATCCGCTGGTTTTCAAACCGGATTCTAAGGAACGCGAGGCTCTCCAGGAAGTGCTTTAGGAATCTTTGGGGAAGAACTGGGAAAGAGGACATGTGTTGGGAGGCCAGGTAAGTTGGGCTTGGCCCCAGTCATTGGATTCAAACAAAGAAGCTTCATTTCTATCTGTTTTATAGTGACTTTAAGTTTTGTTTGAAATAAGGGTTTTGCTACTAAAAAGTTATTTTAAAACTCTTGATCTAGGGGCTCCTAGGTGGCTCAGTCAGTTAAACATCCGACTCCTGGGGGCACCTGGGTGGCCCAGTCAGTTAAGCTTTTGACTTCAGCTCAGGTCATCATCTTGCAGTTCACAAGTTCGAGCCCTGCGTTGGGCTCTGTGCTCCAGCTCAGAGCCTGGAGCCTACTATGAATTCTGTGTCTCCCTCTCTCTCTGCACCACCTACCCCACTCGTGCTCTGTCTCTCTTTTTAAAAAATAAATAAACATTAAAAAAATGAAAAAAAGAAGAAAACATCTGACTCTTGCTTTCAGCTCAGGTCATGATCTCGGAGTTTTGTGGGTTCAAGCCCCAATTTGAATTCTGTGCAGACAGCATGGAGCCTGTTTGGGATCCTCTGTCCCTCTCTCTGACCCTCCCCCACTTGGGCTGTGTCTCGAAAATAAATAAATAAACTAAAAAAAACCCAAAAAACAAAACCAACCTTCTTGATATAGTCTAACTTCCTCATGAAGAAGTCCAGAGAGATAAATGTCTTGCCCCAAATTTTATAATAGGCCCAGCATTAACTTCAGATGTCCAAGCCCTTTCTGAAACCACTGGCCTCCCTGTACCCTTTATCTCTTCGCTTGTTAAACAGCAGGGAAAGTGAGAGATCATCTGACCTGACTGTCTTTCCTGACAGAAGTCTTCATGAAAAATGGAAGGCAGAAAAACACCTTGGCTTCAGCAAGCTAGACCGTTTTTGGCCATTGGCTGTAAGTCTCAAGTCAGTCTATATTCACCTCGTGACAAATTAAAATCAAGTGAGGAATTAAATATGTAATTTGTCTGGATGGTTTAGGACCCTCTTCCCCTTCTCATTCAAATCAAAGTGAGTGGCAAAGGACGCTTTTGCATGAATCATCTTGTTAGTTATATAGGCTTGGCTTGAGGGCACTCTCTAGAAAACTGTTTACATCCCCCTGTTTATTAATCTAGTCAAAAGCAACTCTTTCGAGGCGCCTGGGTCGCTCAGTTGGTTAAGTGTCTGACTCTTGGTTTTGGCTCGGGTCACGATCTCACGGTTCGTGGGTTCGAGCCCCACGT